AATACCCTGGAACCGAGGGGAACTCTGAAAGAACACGCCCATTGGCTGCAAATCAATATATGATTGGTTGATCAAACTGTCAGTCCAAACGTACGCTCTCATTCATTGCAACGGCCAGGGCATTCTATCAAGGATGTAGAATACCTTGGCTGAAGGATATTCTACCCAGAGACCCAGAACAAGATCTGATTGGTTGCTTTTTTTTCTAACACAAAACCACTGAAATGCGTAGAGCATGGTCCGAGAAGGACAAACAAATCAACGTAACATTGTAATATTACAGATCAACAACACAGATACCATTCTCATTTATTCATTTTATATACATTTTATTACATTTTATTTATATAATTAAATCGATTTTTTGTTTGTTTTATCTGAGTGTTCACACCAGGGTATTCTCTGAATACCTTGAAGGCCCTGACGGTTCGCCACTGATTAAGCCACACATCAAAGGACATATCAGTGCAAAGTAAAAGTCAAACCTTTTAATCGTTGTAGGTGATTATACTTGTATTCATGTGATCCAACACATTGTAGATTGGGGCATTAACCATTGCTTCCAAATGACAATAAAAACATATCGAAGCTTCACACTGAAACATATATAAATAGGGCTGACACACTAAAACGGCTGGCCATTATTTTGACCCTTATTCATAACACGCTGGCCACATGTTGTTATGAGGAGAACACAGAAGAGGTCTGGCTTTCCACAAACTGTATATACAGTAAGCACATTTGTGATCCTATAAAAACAAAACTCAGCCATGGGTTCAAAAATACTTTGTGAAATCCACAGGGAAACACTGTGTGATCCTCAGTTTAAAAGGCGACTGTGGTTTAGAGTTGAAGGGCGGCAGCAGCAATCCTGTTATGACAGTAAATGACGTGACGTGAAACTGCATTTAATGACAGAAGGTGTATTATAGCTCGAACTGTGTTTTCTGTTTCGTTTGGCGTTTGACTTTTGTTTTATACTGACCTTGAGGAACAATTTCAGTAATATTCAGGGAGTCAAAACTTGTTTCATGTCTCAAACAGAATAGATTTCTGTTGACAGGGCTAATTGTTAAGTGCGCGGTTGCTGATCTCGAGGCCAAAGAACCACTTTTGGTTGTTCCACTGAAATGTGTATAACTTACGCAGAACCACAGAGTTTTTCTGTGCATTGACACCGCTGTCTGTTTCATACTGTATCCATTGTGCACTGTTTCAGTGTGCTTTAGATGTTCTAATAATAGAATATAAACTACTTGATAATTAAAGATTCCTCCTCCTTTGAGAAGGGGCTGGGCTTTGCAAAAAGCGAATTCTATGTTTCATTTTGAAGTTATTGGTCCAGTTCCAAGACCATCTAGCCTCCACTGATCAAAGGTTGAGTCAGAGAAAAGCCTAGCGGGAGGCTTATGCAAAATGTCGTCTCCTTATTGCGAATCGCCCGACACGTTGGAAACCATCGGCGCTCGTTTAAATGTCAATATACCCCGATGCAGTTTGGCTGTGCTTGGTCAAGTTTGAAGTATGTGGTTGAAAAAAAAGAAAAAAGATCTTAGAAAGAGAATTTGCAGGGTTTGGAAAGTTGCATTGATTAAATTCCTCGACCACGGCTGATTTATCTCCGAGTCCGTAAGAACATTTCATATCTGAAGATAGTCATGCACAATATTAAACTTTGGCACTTGGGAAACAGTGTCATAAAAGTATTTATTTGTTGCAATTTTAATATTTTTCAAATGATTACTTAAACACATTCAATACATACAGACGGTTAAACACCTGAACTTTTGAAAGAACATCCACAACATCATCATTTGCATCTTATATCAATATTCCAATTACTTGTTTTATTTTATTTTATTTACTTTATTTACTTTGCTTGCACTGTTGGAGGAGCCTGTACCCTAAGATTTTAATTGTCATAACTAAACTGTAGCTATGTACACATGACAATAAAAGCCTTGAACTCTTGTCTATGATAAGATTGTTGCAGGAATTCTCAGTAAAAATCGTTCTTGTTCAGAGAAGATAATAAGCAGTCGAAAGAGATCATGACGAGATGAAGGGACATAAAACTTGAACTTCTGCAGTCATCCCTCGCTGCCCCCCCTCCACCCTCCACCTTCAGTGCTGATCCATTATGTTAATGGTGATTACTGGGTCACACATCAACACTATGTTTCCACCTTTTAAAAGCAGGCCAGACGTCCAAAGCCCCATGACGGAGCGCAGGGGGGACGTCTGGGTCTGTTGGAGGTAACTACCGGGGTGGAGGGGGGCTGATAGCATCGCCAGGAATTTAAACAAAAGTATTTTTTTCTCCCTCAAAGCCACCATCTTTCAGTCTGACGGTTACTGTAAACATCATTCCAGCACACAGCATTATAAGACATGCTACTCCACATTCCTTCAGCGCTTTTAAAAAGATGGAAAAATGTCTCAAATATTGTATGTTTACTGGTTGGGAGAACATTTAAAGTAGGTTGTTTTTTTAAGTGCTGAAATGTTGACAAAGCTACGTCTCAGGTTATCTTCAATCTTGACAAATGATGAGAATTTTATTTTTGGGGGATTTCACAGCTTTGATGTGGTGTATGGTGCTATATATATATATATATATATATATATATATATATATATATATATATACTTATATATATAATCCCATTTTATTAAAGAGGCCCTATTTTTGCTTTTTGAGGTTTCCCATTTTCTCTAGTGTGTTATATATTGGTTTTAGTGCATGTAAATGGTCTGCAAAGGCTAAAATCCTGAAGTTCGATTGGACTCCTTTGTTTATTTCCCGTAACATAGTGACATCACCACGTAATAATCACTTTTTTATTGGGTAGCGCTCCAACAGATTGTACATAAGGGGCGAAACATCTTTAAGCTGTTGACCAATCACAACAGAGCCGGCCAGCTGACCAATCAGAGCAGACTGGGCTCTGGTTTCAGACAGAGGTTGAAAAGAGGTGCTGCAGCACAGGCAGTATGAGACAAATAAAGAGCTTTTTGAACATTAAAGCATGGAGACATGTCTCAGTAGAGGCAAAAAACACAAATATGAACTTGAAAATGAGCAGAATAGGGCCCCTTTAATACATGTGTATCTTAGTTATTGACACTTAATAGAAGGAGCACATACAAAGATACATTTTACTTTCTTGGCCCAATTATTTTGTATAATGTGTTTATGATATTGAGGTTTTAAGAAAGCACAAACCGTGAACTCTTGTTGCCCTTCAAGGTGATATACAAAGCCTGTAGAGATGTTGCAATAGAGCGTTCTCAATTTAAAAACATCTGACCTTAAAAGCAGTCCTCACACTTTGGGTTTGTATATAAAAATGCATACCTTGGCAGTATGAGGAGAAGGGAATGTACTCTATGTCCAACCAATGGCTACCTGCAGCATTTCTCTTTAAGGAAGTCTGATAATCAACGTTCACATTGTTGAGTTCCATCCTGAACCAGGCTTTCTCCAGTGCAATAAAAACACATAAAATAGTTTTTAAAATATAGTCCTCATTTTATTAACAGAGGCCAAATAAAACTCATCACATTTTATTTACAAAGGGAGGCAATAAATATCTTAATAATAGTCATAAAATTATTTTTCGCTTACATTTGTTTAAAAAAAAAAAAAAGATCATAAATGTGTCATGTTGTTAGTAGCAACTCGGAAACAGGTGAATACACACTACAGGTGAGAGGAGGCTGGAGTTCGTCGTCAGTGAGAGAGGGAATGATTGAAGCAAAGACTATTCCCCTTTTTTTCAGAACATATTCCCACAATTTCGAGAAATCTGGTTTTCTGAGGAGAAGTCTTAATTGTCAAATGTGAATTTAAAGGTGGGTTAGGTCATTTTGGAGAAACCAGCTCGAGTGCGCTAGAATTAGAAAATACACAGCCGGACAAAATCTGCCACTTCCTTACAGAGCCCCTCGTCCAACACACACGAACGCGCACATGACCAATGAGGGCACGAGATAAGTTTGTGCACAGATGGAAGGCTGACAGGCAGGTAGGCCATCCAGTTACTTTAGCCGGGCCGGCTCAGATGATTGGCCGTGCTTTTTACAGCGCCCTGGCTTCCACAGATTTTTGTCAAAGCAAGGTTCAGAATATTCATTGCTATCGGGATGTTAAGAGCATTCCATGGAATATAACAAAAAGTGTATCTCGAGCCGGTTTCTCAAACTTACCTACCCCACCTTTAAGGAAGTAAAGGGCTACAGTCTTCCTGTCTGCAGATCACAAAACAAGCACAGGGATAAGCTTTCCTAAAAGTGTGTCGAGTGTGAAATGGAGCAAAGATGAGCTCACGGTCGAAAGATGATTTTGGAAGAGAAAAAACAGAAGAGCGTCTGAAAGGTTCTGGAGATTAACTGAGCACAGACAGTCAGACTAGGTGAAGATAAACACAGAAGAACAAGGAGGTAGAGGACGTCTTCATCACCAGCCCCGAAAAATATTAGCTAGCTCACACTCAAAGAATCATCCTTTTCTTTGAGGAAGAGCTGTTATGAAAGTGGGCGACAAGAGGGATTAGCATACATAGTGATGAAGTTGGAAGACTTAGTGGAGTTATGAATCACATCAGCTGTAATATTTTTGTTTGTATTGTTTTCTTTTTAGCTGTTTAAACAAGACTAAAGCCACGGCTGGTGCCCGACTAGTCAAAGCATGTCGTGTTTTAGCTGAATCACAGGAAACGTCAAGGGAATCACACACAGCATTCCTGGAGCCGCCAGTGGAGCTGAGGTTGAGAGACATATGGAAAAACAAAGCCAAAAAAGCAGAGAGGCGGAGAAAGAGAGACCTGTAAAATATTGCACTCAGAGCTACACAGTTATCCCGGCAGCACAGAGTCACCTGCGACCGCCACCTCTCTCCGGTTCGTCTCCATGGTGTCCGATTCCAGTGGAAAGTATGGGATCCGCGTTGTCAGGGGCAACACAAACAAAAAAAAAGGGGACAGGTATTCCAATAAATCTCTAGTTGGCTGATTTTTATAACATCGCGTAACAAAAAAAAAAAAAGAAGAGAGAGTGCACTGCCTTCAGTTCAAACGTGGCCGAGGAGGACGGCGACAGTTTCTCTCAGAGGTCCTTTAGTGTATCCAGTATAAATAACATGACAGACACGTTAGCACAATGACATCAACCCAGAAGAATCCAAGAGTTAGGAAACATTCAGTCATCCTGAAATACAAAAATAAAACATCTTTTTTTTTTTGTTCTTTTTGTCTGTCTTTCTTTTACAGAAGTGAAGTCTTTAAGGTGAAGACAAGAAGAAGCTTGAGATTTTTTCAGTTAAGTTCGTTTTTTTTTTTCTATTTCCCCCCCTTTGAGGAAAAGTAGTGCTGTCCTGTCCCATTGATTGGTCCCATCAGTTCCTCTTGGAGTTGGCTTTTAACCGCCGAGCCCTTCGTGTCCGCTTAGTAACTGGAGTGAAGCGAAACTCCTCCAGCGGGTCCAGCCTGCCCTTCGGCTGGCGCTTCATGAAGTGGACTTCCTGTTGCCTCTGCGTGGTCCGCGAGCCTTTTTTGGGCCGCCCCTTCCTGTTGAAGCCGAGGTACCATCCTTTGTACTTGGCCGACACGAGGGCCGTGTAGTTGTTCTCCAGGAATTCCTCGACAAACACACACTCCTGCTTCCGTCCATCGGGCTACACAAAGAAGAAATAGGACATTCATTAAAGATCTGATTTGCATTTCATCTGTGTGTGCGGGCTGTTTTTGATTTGAAATTTGGTGTAAGTTTAAAATGTTGGTTTTGTGTTGAAAACCTACATTTTTGATTACATTTTAACGCTTATTTTACATTAAAGCGGTTCGCAAACTAATAAATTCAAGGACAGCATGACATTTGAAATCTTACTTTCAGAGGTGGAAAACCTCTTCCAATGAGTTTGGGTTAAAACTTAAAATGCATACGAATTCCCTTTCACTATAGTGGCGTTTCCCGCACGCTTAACTCTCTGCTGCACTGTTTAAGTTGTCAGTCTTTTTAACAACTAATCTTTATTTCACTTTCAGGTAACATGCCACATTGCAGTAGCTGTATTTTATAGGAAAAGTTTGGTTTTATGGGTAATACAATCATTTACTTGTTTGCCATGTGAGAAACAATTCTGCAGGCTAATATGCAGCAAGAGCCAGTTAGCTTAGCATAATTAACAAACAGATAGAAGAAGTGGTGCTAATGATCTCATTTAACCTTTTGATTGAAGATATGGAGCTTTAAATTCATGAAAGTCATCAAATCTCTCTCGCAAAAACATGCTGGTGTGGAGTTTAATTGTTTAAATTATACAAATGCTAAGTAGTGAGGAAAAGCTGGAGGATTCTAATACTTTGCTCCATGGTCACAGCAGGCTGTTTGCAATGAGACATCTCAGAAGTCTTGTGAGGCTGCATCAGACTTTTCTTTGGAAGAGAGCATTTCCACTGAAACCTGTTCACTGTGATGTCTGTGGATTATCTGCCGATACAGAACAGCCTTCCTAGAAAACAGAGCGGCTGAAGCTTTGAAAGCAGGGTGGAAGTAAATATCTCATATCTCATCTATCTGCATGCCTTCATAGATATACGGGTAAGTCAGAACATATCTAACATTTGGGTGGAGACACTTTCAAAATCCTGATGCCCTTTTAATTGAATCTGTCTAAAATGTACAGTTTACACAAATTATCATTAAACAAGCTGAATGTCAACAGCAATGAATAATGTTAATGTCATTTGAACTGATTGTTAAAATGACCCTTTGCTGGTTTAAAGGAGGAAGTCGAGGAACATTCTTTAAACCAATGACGCCCAAGCAACGAAAAGAAAATGCATGTTTCTAACAGATGACCGTGATGAGAGAGTGAAAGCGTGTGTGAATTATTGCAGATGCTGTGATGATGACAACTTGAGTTATTAATGCAAATAAATCACACGTGGGTCTTTTCAAATATGAACTTATTTTCCATATCGCAGCGTTGGTCAGAGTCACATGCAGTCATCCCGCGCCTGTGGCCACCTGGTGTGACTAAGTGATATAATTGCAATGGCATTCCTCCTAAGTGACCATTAGTCTCTCAATGCATTGTGGTGATTGCAGTCCATAATTGACTGATCGAGTGTCAAAGGAGCAGGCCGATTACGTAATGGAAGAAGGGCTGGGAGTTATCAAAGGGGTTTTGTTAGGGTGTACAAAAAACAGCCGGAGAAAGCAGATCTGAGGCTGCGTTCAATTCAGCCCGGATTAAGAGCTCCATTTAAAATATTCATTTAGATATTAGGAAGTGGCGATTAAGAAGTGAAAATATTGATCATTTACTGGAGGGTCAGTGGGTTGAAAACCAAGAGATTCTTACCCGTCCGACTATTTTGCCCTTCTCGTTCATGCAGATGTAGTGTTCGCTCTCCTTTCCTTTAATTCGGATGTGGCTCCCGAAGGTTTCCGTCTCGACAACAAGGAGGGCTGGAAAACAAAAGAAAAAAAAGATTCTGTTAACAGCAAGTCTTTCCAATCACATGGTTTAAGGGTCCTGATTCCATGCACATTTCATTATATCTCATTTGTTATTCACACTTATGGTGATTATTTGTAACACTCAATTTCTTGAAGTTAAGACCAACAATGTATTTCATCTTAGTACCAGTCCTGCAAAGGAAGCGTGCAAACTGAACGCTCTAAGTACCTCACTCAGAAAACTCACATATTTAGAATAAAATTGCAAAGATTAAATGTTTTGAACTGTTTTTTGGGTGTTAATATTACAGTAATATGTCAGGATTAAAGTGCCATAATATGTACCACAACCAAAGTTAACCACCACATATAAACATGTATTTGTACACAGATATAAATAGGACAACACAATTCTGCAATATCCAGGAACACAATTTTGGTCTGTTAAAAACACATATTGCATGAGATGCATTCAATCAGTGGATGTGGAAANATAAAATTGCAAAGATTAAATGTTTTGAACTGTTTTTTGGGTGTTAATATTACGGTGATATGTCAGGATTAAAGTGCCATAATATGTACCACAACCAAAGTTAACCACCACATATATTATAGTATAGTATTTGTACAGAGATCAATAGGACAACACAATTTTGGTCTGTTAAAAACACATATTGCATGAGATTCATTCAATCAGTGGATGTGGAAATTTTTTTCAATGGTTTAGACATTTTCTTTAACAAAAATGGACCAAAAAATGATGTGTCTGCAGAGAAAAGAAATGCCAGCGCCACTCCACCTGAAGCAGCGAGTAATCCACTCTCGAGACCGCATCCCGGCGGCTCTTTTATAAACCCCCAAAACACCCCCACCCCACCCCACCCTGAATGTTAACCCCTGCGAGGTCACCTTTGTCTGCGCTCGCCCCTCGACCAGCAAAGAGATCGGCCAAACATTTGTGGAGCGGTTATGTGCCCCTCAGGATTAGGTTTCAAGTTCCCTTTAGTCTGTGCTCACTCAATCAAAAAGTTAAGATGATCCATTTGTTTAACACACAGGGCCATTCAGTAGCGCTCAAGGGAGCAGAGGAAGAATAGGCGAAAGGGGATGGGTCGGGCTCCAGGGCAGAAGTAACTCCCCCGCCTCCTCCTCCTCCTCCTCCTCTTCCTCCTCCCCCTCCTCACCCTTAAATACAACCTTGGGAGGAAAGTGGGAAACCTGTCTCAAAGGTGGAACAAGTTATTCCCTCCTTTTGTTTGGAGAGATTCCTGTTCGTACGTCTTATTTGGGAGATAGAGATTGTATTTTGTATCACTGGAGGGAGCTTGGAGGGGCTGTAAGAAGGAAAATAATCCAACAAGTCTTAAGTGAATGTTGTTTATAAAGATATTTCAGCTCTCTAAAAGTCATTTGACAAGCGTTTGGCTTTCTCACTTAGTTGGTTTTGCACGGAGACCCAAAATTCAACCTCAGCTATGAAACATCGACCTAGAACATCAGATAAAACAATATTTCCCTCCCTACTGTAAGATACCCTTTGTCTGTAAATTGAATTATTTCATTTTATCTCAGTTGGCTCAACAAGAAATATATCTTTGAGAAAGAGTGGTCACTGGGATGTTTTGTAAATGAACTCTTGACATGTCTTAAAAACAATTCCCAGGCCCGAGACTCCATTGGCAGCCATAGCCGGAACATTAAAGGGGAACAACATTTCAAAATCTGACAGCAATGTTAGAATAACTGCTCAATGTTTACCATTACATCCCACTCCCAGTGACTTCTTGTTCACCTGGGTTTCTCTCATGGGGCAACATAAACAAGGAGGGTCCACAGGCGTGAATTAACCTCAGCATGGGGTCACCTGTCAGGAGAGTTGAAAGCTCCTGCTTTAATGCCACGTTGCAGCATCTATCAGTTTAAAAGCCTTTAGGGAGAACCACCCTGTGCTCAGAGTGGACATCAGGCATCATTTATGACAAAAAAGGATTGTCCTAGTCTCTTAAAAATAATGAATATGCTACCAAGAAGAAGGATGGCTGCACTAATAAGGACTTAGAGGTTTTAATGCTCTGTAACGAAGCGATATATTTCTGGTTGTGGCCCTTAGATGTGAAGCTGCAGTGACTGAGAGAGGATCTTCTTGAGCGTTATTAGTGAGTGCAAAGGAGTTCACAGGTGCCAGGTACTGCAGCTGGATGGGGAGGAGGAAGAGGAGGAGGGGCGGAGGGCAGAATTGGCAAGGCCTCATGGGAAAAATTGGATCTGCTTCCACTCAAGCTCTAACAAGCAGTGAGGAAACTTCGCCTCGGCGCATCTGTGACTGAACACACTCACTCAGAGGCATTCAAGACCGGCAATTTCAGAGCAGTGAGTCAGCTGTTATGAGCTAAATATCTGCAGGAACGCACAAAACAAGGCCTGACCTTCAATTTACTCATCTGCTGCTCTTGTTTTGATATGAAATAGTGAACAAGTTTGTTCAAAAGGCAGACAAGGTATATTTGAGATTGGTAGGAGCATACAATTGGATGAACATGTTATATTCAGTCAAACTAAACCCTTCAAATGCCGTTTCTCAGTTTCGCTATATGCTTAACATTTTTTGCACTGATAGCTAATATCCAACATCAAATGTGACCGCGACTATTGTGAACCATCTTGTAGTAAAGAAAATGAAAGGTTAAAGATTTATATTTTTGCTTCCTCTTAAAGTTCTAATACTTTACTGATCTGCATTTCCAAATATGGACAGACTCCAATAACATTTTCTGATGAGACAATTAAGTTCAATAATGCCATGACTGCATCCAAACCTCAATAGTTAAAATCTACAGTATGTTGCAGTTGTGGTCCACATTAGGGGTTCTGGCCAAAATAATTACCTTGTTGAACTATAAATCAATCAAGGTAAGAACAGACTTGCTCTGAATACCCAAACGCTGCGTTAAAAAATCCATTGCAAAGTCAGCAATTTCATGTTTCCAGCGACCCCATAGAGAAGTTGGCGGCTTCTTAGTAAGTTCTCCATCCACTTTCCCGAAGCTAAACACTGAGCATGGAAACATGATCTCCATACGATGGCTGGAACAACATCTGGCTGGTAGCTGTTGGAGGTTTCTCATCCTGCTGTAAAGAAACTAGCTAGCATGTCAGGTGAGATGCACAGGAGTTCTCCCATACCATACTTGCCCCCATCATCTCCGTTGGCGTTGACTTTCTTCCCGAGGATCTGCACGTGTTTCCCCGTGGTCCTGCTGTACAGCTGATAGATCCGGACCTGCTTCCGGCTCAGGTCGTCCGGGTTCCTCGTGTGGTTCTCGATGTAAATCCTGAAATCAGCAGAGGTCTGCTGGGATTCCTGAGAGAAAGACGGAAGAGAAAGAAGCATAGAAAGAGGGGAAGACAGGCGGTTAGAGATCGTCACGGCGCAGGTGTTGATAGTAATGTGTGCTTTTATAGGCCGTGTGTCAAAAAAATGTGCGCTCCAGGCGCGAAAAACTCCAACCGGGAACTTGTGGCTGCGGCATTTGAGTGTTTCACTTCCTGCTTTCAGCTCGCACATTTGACATGCATTGCATTTACGAGCTGATAAACTATGTACGAGATGTGTTGATGAAGTCACCGTTTGAGTACAAATCCCACAGAACAAGTGCAGAGCCTATAGTGCAGCCTTCTGCTTCAGATTGAGACAGCGGTATACTATGTGCCCCGGGCGATATTGAGAAACCTGTATTCCATTTCCACAAGCCACTAGCAATTATACACCTGAAGCATCCAGACCTGTTGCACTATCATCAAACAAATATCTGCCTGCAGGCCAAGTACGGTCCATAAATTAGGAAAGGCAGCGGGCGGAAGACAAGACGGAGGGATGGCATGAGGCACCTCCGAAACAGGAGGACTTTCTGATTCTGCAAATTCACCTTTCAGAATTTAGTAGAAGGCTTTTTATGAGTCACCTAAGACCTGACATAAAAACCGAGGAAACCACAGACTTCGACAGCTCGTCAGAAAAGCAAATGTGTCACCCAACATGTGGAAGAGGAAACGTATACTTTCAGAAGCCCAGGAATCTGTGTTCACGCCAAGATCCCATTTCCCCAGCTGTATGGTGTGGTAATTGCACAGTAATGGCTTTTTATGTGGCTGTTCTCAGGTGGCTAATTATATACACATTACATACCCCGAGTTCTTGTTATTCTAACTTTAGTAAATTAATGACATGTAGAAAACATGAGGGGAAATCGTGGTCTCGGAAGAAGAAATCTTTAAGCTCGGACAGGAAAAATAAACTTTGGCAAATCAAATGGAGGCTACTAACATTAGCTCTCTTAAATCAGGTGACATATAATAATACTTTAAAGAACGATGTACAGAAAGGTGAGTTTTACGCCGCACACGAAAAAGCAATGGTTTAACCTCCCAAAAAAGATAATTGGTTGTTGAGTTTGGACACCAACTTTAAATGTCTTCTTAAGGACTTTGCCCTCCCATTTCTGAGCCACATTTGGACTTGGGGCTTTTTAAATAGTAAGGGCTCGTTGCCTCATCATGACGTATTTGCTCTAGAAATGTGGACCTCAGAGGATTCAGCCCCAGAACTGGGACACAGCTTCTGTATCTTGACATTTCGGAAACACGCCCGTAATGTTACTTTTGGCAATGTAGAAAATGAGAGGCTTGATATTCAAATGTATCAGCCACTAATTTGTGATGTTAATAGTGACTTAAAGGCATCACAACCTTAAATTAGGCTGACTTTACTTCATGCAATGGGATTTTAATTTGGGAAGCAATTTGTTTAGCCATGTATCTCTAATGGAAAATACCTTTTTTTAAACTAGCCTTAATTGGACTTTTTTTCTAGATCAGGTACATCTATGCATGAAACAACTGCTCAGCCATGTGGTATAATGTTCTCTTTTACATTTTTCTTACAAACTACTAGTCAACACCAAATGCAGAGAGAAATGCATCAAGAACCAGCACTTCCTAAAGATAACCCTGATAACATGTAGATTAGATCTGGGAACTGATAACCCAATGCAACCCATTCAATTCAAGACAAGGATTTGCCATTCTCAACTCAAAAGCTATTTGACTCATACTGTCAAATGTATATGGACAGAATTTTCCAAACTGCATTTACTGTACATTGGAACTTAATGGATGTTTAATAAGTACTGGAGACCAAGGAGCGGCTATGTCAATGGAGTTTTTTTAAATAAATGTTGCACCCAACAGATAGTACTACTTTTATATTTGATGCTCTTAACATTCGGTGTCTGTTCCCAAGAGAAACTCCAGACAATGATTCATTTAAGAGCCGAACAGTTAGCATGAGCAGCAGTAGCCTCAACATCTGAACAAACAAAGAAAAAAGTAGCACCTAGAGGACTTTTCATTCAACGAAAAAAAAAGATTCAAATTGTAAGATTGAAAAGTGATCTTCACAAACCACTTGGATCCCTACAGTAGCTGTTGCTAAAAAAAAGAAAGCAGCTTGATACAAAACCTCCCTCAGATTTAACATTAGTGCAACCGCCTGGTGTCTATCCAGAACTACACACACAAAAATGTGTTAAAAGGATTTCGAAAGTCAAACATCGGCATCGTCTGTTGTCAACTTTCTCTCTGAATGAACCTCAAAGCTGACGAGCAAGAAAAAAAACCTGAACACAAAACAAAACGTGGCCTCTCTGGGCCGCTAAGGGATTTATCCCAAATCTCCCCGTCTCTAAACAAACATAAAGGTGTGTTTGGTAGACAGTTGCGTTTTCATCAAGGGAAAGGCAAGCCTAAGCACATGGCTGAGGTGAACACTAGCGACAACAGCTTTTTTTTTTTTTTTTTTTTTTTTTTTTTATCACGCTGTCTCCTTTCTTCAAAGACACAGCATGAAAACGGATATGGTTGAAACTTCAAAAGTCTGGCACTCATCTTCACCCAGGAAGCTTAGTTGTCGCATCCATCTAAGATACACCTTGCTATCTCTCAGGGTCACACACACAAATAGGAAAACACACAGTCTCACATGTTGGCAGGGCATTCAAAGTTTACTTCCAACTGTGGTTGCGTCTGTTGTCTTTCCTCGTGAAATCACAACCACAGCATGACACGTAGGAGCCATTAGCCGCAGAATGGGTCAACAACACGGAGAGGGAATGTGAAAGGGGGGCATTAAAGGACTATTCCTGCATTTTTTCAGTTTGATCATTATCCTGAAAGCACTCAGGGAACCACAATGCATTTCCTTTGTTTGATAAATGCCTTTATCTAATCTGATTTTTTTCATAACCACATCAAACATGCAACATCCCATAACAAACATGGACTATTAATTATCAGTGCACCTCATTTGTCTTTAAGGTCATATTCTGAATGGGGTTCATCCTCGCTTACATTTGAGGAGTGGTCAGTCGACACTATAGCTTTGTTTGTGCCAGCTCTGTTGGAATAATCAGAGTGCATAGACTTATATAACTTTGCAGTTTTTCTAGTTTTTAGGGTTCCAGGAATTGTTGATTCATTAAAACAAATCTGGATCAGAAAATTGACTTTCAGGTTAGACCTGTTATTTTTGTCAGAGAGCTACAGGCCCCCGACCGTGATGCCCTAAATGAAAAAAAAAAAACGTTGTAGGCTAACACTAGAATTAGGCAACCATAAAATGTATTTATATAGTTTACAAACACACTTTCCCTCTAACATGGTTGTATCGTATCAAAAGGTCAAAATGGCAGCTCTTAATATTGGTATTCTTTAGTTTCAGTGACTAAAATATAGCTAAGATAAAAATACTTTTACAAATATATCAATATGTTGCCAACTGTTGGATGCTTATTTAGAATAAAATATACCCCCGGAGTGAATAATGGATAGAACCTTAACAACACTTTAAAAAAACAAAAACGATCCTGTTTTAATATTTGAGATCAGAGGGAAGTATTTGAAACATCCGCACGTGGAAAAATTATGATCCAACACGTCATAGCTATAAAGTGATCAGATAACTTTATGAGAGAAGCAGCGTGCTCTCTGCCTCTTATGGGAATCA